TTATATAAAATAAAGGGATTAGGAAAGGTGATGTCTCAGCCCTTGCCTCTCTGGAGAGCCTGGATTGGCCCTAGACCATACGCCCTAACAGGGCGCAACTTAATTCTAGACACAGGATCTTGTTGAGTGGCTCTGAGTTCACCTTTCGCGACTTTTCCAAGTTTCCCCCCTCCTGGCATCAGCCTGGTTTGGCCTCCTCCTGCCGATGCGTGCGGCTCGGTGACGGCAGCTGAGCTGGGAGCAGAGCCCCATGCCAGCCGCCACCTTCCGAGAGGCCGTGTCTTGCCCGACTGCTTCCTGAGCCGCCCGCTGACCTCGCCTCACAGCTGCTTCCACCGTGCAGTCCTCCTGGCAGTCCTCATCATGACCGCAGCTGCGGCCTGCCGCCCGCCCTCCCCACCCACTCTCAGACGCCTCCGGAGGTGTCAGTCGGCCCTGGCGCCTTTGCCACTGGGAGTCCTGGCACCCGCCTTCAGAGCGCAGTGCGCTGTCGTGCCCTGGGGCCTTCAAAGGTGCCTCGCCCAGATGAGTCCCACAGGGCGGATAATCTCACCTCTTTTCACAAATGGGGAGCTGCGGTGGAGAAACTGCCTTGTCTTCCAAGAGGGAACAAAGACAGTGGATCAGCCAGGGCAGAAGCGAAGCCTCGGCACTCTCCCAGAGCAGCGTAGGCTTTCGTAATCGGTCATGCGTCTTTTACCTTTTGAAACTTTGTCGGATTTATATATAGCCTCCATCTTGTCCCTCCGAACTCGGCAGGGCTCACCATCAGTCACTGGGCTGAACACCTGGAACTCTGTGGGGATTATCATTAGAAGGATGCGAGGCCAGGTGTGGTTTTGGACCAGAGACCTATTGGAAGAGGGAGGATTTCTCACTTTCCAAGTTTGCTCTGCTCAAGTTAAAACAATTAACCTCCTTTCCCCTTCAAACAACTGTTCTCCTCAGCTCTGTACTAGCAAGATGCAAGCGGAAGACACTGTCAAAAGTGGACTGTGCCCTTCAAAATCTTCAGATAAAAAGGTACATTAGATTGTCCCCAGGGCTTCTTCCTGCCACCACTGCCCTCTTTTCTCCACTAATTTCACCACTCCCTTCTGGACCTTACACCTCCTGAGAACAGGAATTTTCCCTAACGCTTTGGTCGTGAAGAGATTGTAGCCGAGGGGAGTCTGGCCAAAGTTAGGCCCCCACATCGGGCCCCACACTCACCTCTCAGAGTTTGCCAGGCCTGCCCGCAGGGAGGAAGGACAGATGGCAAGGTTATTCCCACCCACCTGGGGTCTTAGCTCTCTTAACTGATGTAGCTGTCAGCACACTATTCCCCTTCTTGGGCTGCAAAATCTCCCAGGACACACACACACTCAAAAACTCTCGGTAACATTAATATTTTCAGGAAATCACACACCTCCTTCTTACATTATGCTGATATTATATTACACAGCTAGCATGAATTGAATGCTTATTCCATTCTGGGCACTGTGCTGGCTGATTTTTATGCCCTAATGACTTCATTTAATCCTCACGATAATCCTATGAGGAGGTTTGTGGGATGAATCTAAGGCTGTGAACTGAAGTGAATTATCCATGTCACCCAGCCAGGGAGGGGCAAAACCAAGACTTGAAACCTGGTCTCATCCGACAAGTGAGCTTTTCAGCCACCATCCAAGATCCTCTCCATGATGCAGGGGCTCAACTGCAGATGTCAAAGCATTGCTGGTCTGGTGAGGTAGTCCTAGCCAGTCTTGGCCCTTCCATCCCCAAGAGGGAAGCTGACCCTCACCCCTCTCACATAGCCTGGCCTTTTCCTGAGCTTACAGACCTGGACATGAAGATCCACCACTCTCAACCACTGCCCAGTTCTGGGCTTTCAGGTTATGGGAAATAATAGATCACAAAAAATGAACTCATCATCTTGCAGAAATGATCTAACTTAGTCATTCCCTGGTGGCTCAGATGGTAAAGAATCCGCCTGCAATGTGGGAGACCTGGGTTCAATCCCTGGGTTGGGAAGACCCCCTGGAGAAGGTCATGGCAATCCACTCCAGTATTCTTGCCTGGAGAATCCCCATGAGCAGAGGAACCTGGTGGGTTCCATGGGGTCACAGTCAGATACAACTGAGTGACTAAGCACAGCACACACAGTTATTTTCAAGTTTGGCAGCACAAGTCACAACTGCGGAAACTTTTTAAATCCTGCAGACCAGGCTCAACCGCACACCAATTAAATAAACTTTAAATTGGAACCAACTAGCATTTTTAATAGTATTTTTTCAAACAAGTGCAAATTTACAAAACAGTTGGAAGTTGCTCTGGACTGAATGTTTGTGGTCCTGCAAATTCATCTGTTGAAACCCTAACCCCCAATATGATGGTAACCAGGAGGTGGGACCTTTGGGGTAATTAGGTCTTGAGGGTGTAGCCTTCACGAATGGGATTAGTGCCCTTGTAAGAAGAGACATGTGGACTTGTTTCCTCTTTCTGCTCTCTGTGAAATGAGGATACAGTCACCTGCCAACCAGAAAGCAAGCCTTCACCAAGAACTTGACAGTGCTGGCACCCGGGCCCTGAACTTCCAGCCTCCAGAACTGTGAAACATGGATTTCTGCTGATTAAGCTGCCCAGTCTGTGGTACCTTGTTATAGCAGCCTGAACTGAGATACAAATACGATGCAAAAAATTGCTTCCTGAACCAACTAAGAATAATTTGCCAACCTGGTGCACCATCTTCCCCCAAAATTTTAGTGTCTGTTTTCCACAAACAAAGACCTCGTCCTATATAACCTCAATAGTGAAGTGAAGTGAAGTCTCTCAGTCATGTCCAACTCAATAGAAAACCCTAAATCAGGATATTAATGTTGTTATAGCTCTATTAACTAGTCCTCAGATTTCATTCACATTTCACGAGTTGTCCAGATAACATTCTTTACAGGAAAGGGTCCAACTCAGAATCATGAGTTACAGCTATTGGTCAGGTGTTTTTAGTTTTCTTCAGTCTGGAAAATTCCTCAGCCTTTCCTTGACTTTCATGACCTTGACACTTCTGAAGATTATTTTATAGAATGTCTTTCAGCTTGGGTCTGTCCAACATTTCCTTACGAAGGGATCCGGTTCATTCTTCTTTGACAAGAATGTCACAGAAATGATGCAGTGTTCTCATTGCATCCTTTTGGGTGGTCCACTGTTTATTTTCCTGTTACTGATGACATTTACTTTCATCATTTAATTAAGATGGTGTCTGCCAGACTTCTTTGCTATAAAAGAACTCTTTTACCTTTTGTAAATTAATTAGCATTTTGTGATGAGAGGCAAGAGGTGAGCTGCATATTGAGAGACTAACTGTCAGTTACTTTTACATCTCCTCAGGTGATTTCAGAGCACAACCAGTTTGGAGAATCAGTGGCCTAACTTCTTCCTGTGAATACAGCATCAGCAAAGACATGGGGCCTTTGTGACATGAGTTAATGCTAAGAAGAGCCAACTGTATTAGTTAACACTTATTGAGGCCTATGTGCCATCCACTGTGCTAGTTACTTTATATGCATCATCACCATCATTATAGCAGCTTACAGTTATTATTATCCATTCACTCGATAAATTCCTACTGAGAACTAACTGTGAGCCAAACACTCTTCTAGGTTCTGGAAATACAGCTGTGCACAAGAGACACAAAAATCCCTTTTCGCAAACACTGTGATACTTACTTTATACTCACAGCTTATGACAGTGATGATAACTTGCCTCTACTGAGCACGAACTGTGGGCCAGATTCTTAGATCAGCCATACAACAATACTGTGAGGCAGGCACTTTTATCATGAACTTATAAACTTATGTCAGGAAAAGAAAGACTGTAAGGCATGTAGAAATACACTTACCACAACACTTGATACATTATGTTCCCTTCAGTCCTAGCAAAGATGATGATGGACACTAGGATTTGGGGAGAATCATACTGAGTTAACAAAATGCCACTTTATACACATCAATTTGGCAAAAATGAGAAAGCCAGACTATATCAAATACTGGCAAAGGATGTGGGGAAATGTGACCTTTGAGCATTGTTGGTTCAAAGGTAGCTGGTGAGCCATTTCCAAGGGCATTTTCTATATGTATCCCTAGAACCCCGGAAAGCCACCATTGGGTTTATACACTGGAGAAGCCATCACAAGTTCACAAAGAGACATGTGTGTGAAGAGTTTCACAGACTTGGATGCTGTCACAGAGTTGGAGGCAACTAGAGGCCCTTACCGGGGAAGTGAACAAGCAACATATGTTACAGGTATTCGGTGAAATACTTTGCAGAAGACAGAAGAAATTACCCAGACTACATAAAACATGTATAATTCTCAAAATTATACTATTAAGCTCAAAATGAAAGAAACAGAATATTTATAGCACAACACTTATAAGAATTTTAAAACAGCACACAAAACAACACTCTGTATTATCAAGGATATCTCCACACACATATGTGTGATGGAAGGGGGACTGGAAGGAGATGCATTAAATATATGTCTAGGTATGCACAGAGGGGAAGGGGAGGAATAGGGTAATGGGACTGGAGCTGGGAGACTGAGTGAGAAAATAATAACTAATTAAACAATAGAAGAGACTTGTCAGGACAATTCCTTATATCCTATGAATTTATGAGTGTGATCAGTTTGATTCTGTGGCTGACTTCATTCTGCCTGGAAGCAAACTAAAAGACAGTGCATGAATATCTTTCCAAAAATGTTATATAAGCACTCCAGAAAGAGCTCCCTTTCACCCAACCCTCTTCAAACCCATCTTCACAGAAGAAGCAGAGTCTCTGAAACAGACTGACAACATTTTACATCAAGCTGACCTCATGAAATCAGGCCTGCATCAATGCTCACCCTGAACCACCCCACGACCTCTAACGCGTGTTTTCCATGATGCCCTCCTCCAGTGACAGAGGGCCAGGAAAGAGAAAAGAGTTGCCCAGATCAGGAAACTGATCTTGGCTCTGCAACTTACTGGCTGTGGGAGCTTGATCAGGATGTTCACCTTCTTCAGATTGTTCCTCATCTCTCAAAATGGGAATCACACCAGCTATCTGAAAGGGCTGTTTGCAGAAATAAAGGAGATTCTGTGTGAGGGAACATGGCCATGGCCCCCCTCCCTCCCTCTGGAGAACCTCAGTGGGACCTGAAGTCTCTTGTCCATAATTCTAAACATCCCCCACATGGGCTCACAGTTGGAAGTGATGGGGATACACTCCCTCAGTCTCCTCGCTCTGGGCCACGTGGAGGTCAGAACAATGGCCGCCCACATGTGGCAGAGTGGTGGTTCCATCATGCCTGGACCCAAGGTAGGTGTGGACAGCGAGCTCCCAGAGGAGGACTGTTCAGGGTGGCAGAGCCTTTTCTGAGCTGTTTGTCTCAAATGACTGGGCATTTCCTTCCCTGCATCTTCCTCAAAATAAATGGCACTGCTTTTACCTGTGCTGGAAGGCCTCTTGAGTTCTTCCTCCTGCCTCACTCCAAGTCTAATCCCCAGCTCAGTCCTGTTCATCCTTCCCCCGGGAGCCTCTCCGAGCCGCCTGGACCCCTTCCTGGGGACCTGTGAACTGGCAAGCTCTCAGCATCTTTTCTCCAGGAAGGCTGTGATAGTGTCTTGTTTTATCTCCCTGCCTCCTCCAGCCCCATCCTCCAGGCAAGAAGGGACCTTCTGACACGTGGTCTAATGTCTTCTTTACTACTCCAAATTCTCACAGGTTGCTGTAGACAAGCTCAGTTCACATCACTGCCTTCCCTCTCCCCTGCCCCAGTCTCACTGGATTTCTTCTCCTGGGAACTTGCCAAGGCCCTTGGCTTCACCCATGCATCGTGTGCAGGCTCTCCAGCTCACTTTGTGTGGCTGATCCTTGCTGGCTTTGGGAGTTCAGCTCTGCTCTACAGATTGACCTTTTCTGATCACCCTCTCTAAGGCCTCCTTACCACCCCTACTGAGTCCCAAGGATGCCCCTGCTCATGGCTTTCAAGACATTTATCACAATCCTAGTTTGCTTTCGACCTTCTTTAGTCCCTTTTTTACAGAACTTCTTTCTCCAGAACCTGGCAGGGTGCCAGAGACATAGTAAATCCTTGTGTGTGGGCGTGCTTAGTCATGTCCAACTCTTTGCAACGCCATGGACTATAGCCCACCATGTTTCTCTGTCTAAGAGATTTCCCAGGCAAGAATACCAGAGTGGGTTGCCATTTCCTATCCCAGGGGATCTTCCAAACCCAGGGACTGAACCCCCATCTCCTATGTCTCCTGCATTGGCAGGCAGATTCTTTACTGCTCAAAGTGAAAGTGAAGTCGTTCAGTCGTGTTCGACTCTTTGCAAACCCATGTTGCCTACCAGGCTCCTCCGTCCATGGAATTTTCTAGGCAAGAGTACTGGAGTGGGTTGCCATTTCCTTCTCCAGGGGATCTTCCCAACCCAGGGATCGAACCCAGGTCTCCCGCAGTGGGGGCAGATGCTTTACTGCCTGAGCCACCAGGGAATCCTACTCTTTACCACTGGTGCCACTCAAAATACCAACATGGCCTCCTCAAAATTCATGTCCACCTGGAACCTCAGAATGTGACCTTATTAGTCAAATCCACCTCACTTGCCTTCACTAATCAAGGTCATTTCAAGACTTGCACGTCCGGTAAGTAGCCCATAGCCTAAACAACAAGATATTTGCCAAAGGGATTTCCCTGGTGGTCCAGTGTCTAAGGCTCCACGCTCCCAATGCAGGGGACCCAGATTGAACCACTGGCCTGGGAATTACATCCCACATGCCACAACGAAGAACCTGCGTACCACCACTGAGACCTGGCACAGCCAAATAAAGCTTAAAATATAAATATTTTTTAGAAAAGATGTTTGCCCAAGTTGTTATCTAGGGACTTAGAGTCAGCAGCATCTAGTTGGAGCTGAGCTGGTTGAGACTGGATAGAACCATCAACCTTTCAACTGGGCACGTGCAACTTGGTGCCCCTGTGATTACCCCTTTATCCAGTCACCTTTCCCACACTTCAGCCTGCCCTGCTTCTTTACTCCTTGTCCCATAAGCACCCCAAGCTCCTTGCCTCCAGAGAGGTAAATTTGAGATGTTTTCTCCCCTCTCCTCACATGGCTGCCTTACAAATAAACTCTCTTTGCTGCAAACCTCGGTATCTCTCTGTCTTGGTTTGCTGTGCCTTGGGCAAAATGAACCTGGTTCAGTAACATTTGTCTATATACAGTCTGGGATCTTAGTCTGTTTGCAATAGGTTCTGGTGAGCCTTTGTATTAGTTTTCCAGGGTGGCTGTAACAAATTATCATAAATTTAGCAGCTTAAAACTACACAAATCTGTCCTAGGTCTGTTGGTTAGAATCTCAACTCAGGTCTCACTGGATGAAAAGCAATCATTGGCTAGGCAAGTCTCTAGGAGAAAATCTATTTGCTTGCCTTTTCCTGTATTTCTTGCCTCGTGATCCCTCTTTTCTTTAGCCAAGAAGGGGGTGGTGGCGTCTTCCTCATATTGTATCCCTCTGACAATAACACTCCTGCCTCCCTCTTCCACTTGCAAGGACCCACCCAGGTAATTCAGGATAATCATCTTATTTTAAAAGTCAGCTGATTAATAACCTTAATCACATCTGCTACCTCAATTCCCCTCTGCCACTTAACAGTAACAGTAATGTGTTTACAGTTTCCAGTGATTAGGGGGTCAACATCCTCAGGAAGCCATTCATTATGCTGCCTACCACACCCGGGAAACCAGATAAAATGGGAATGTCAACTATACTGCCAGGCAACTTTGCTTATGTTAAAATTGTCCCCTGATTGGCAAATCACCTAAGGACTAGGAGGAGCTATGAACTGATTATAAACACCTGAGTTGGGCATCATATCTTAGGCAAAGGGGGAATCCATTTCCTTGCCTTCCCCAGAATCTAGAGGTCATGACACGTCTTCAAGGCAAGCAGCGTGGCATCTCTCTGACTCAGCTTCTGTCGTCACATCTCTGACCACAGCTGGGAGGGGACAGTTATTCCACCTATTGCAGCCTTCCAATACCTCATGCCCCCTCTGTGGTCTAGAAGTGGAGGAGGCAGACCACGGCTCGCCCACACTGCTGGCCTCTGAGAGGACTTTGAGATATGCTCCCTTCCCTGCGCTGGGTGCCAGCCTGTGGTTCCTGGGCAACCTTGACCTCTGGCCATCCTCAGTGCTTCAAATTACCTGTGGAGGAGGTAGCCCCCTGGGAAGCCAGGTTTCCATTCTAGCCTTCAAGGGAAGGAGGAAGGTCTCTTATAATTTCAACAGTTTCTTATAGCTGCAACAATATCCGCAAGGCTTCCCCTGACTTTTCATCCAGATTTCCAGATTACAGAACATGTTCTGCAGCCTGGGAAACCTCCCTAAACTCAGAGATCTGGTGGTCACCTAACTCTCCCTAACTCACCTTTCCTGCCCCACATGTCAGACCTGCCTTGTTTGTAAAGCCATCACTTGTATCTTGAATCTCTCTTCTTGACAACGTGCTTGGTGTCTGAGCCTCTGTTTCCTGGTCCTAAACACCCACTCACCATTGACCTGAGCCCCAGGACTCCAGACTCCCAGGAATCCATCCATGCACTAGAGCATTCAATCAATATTTCTGAGTATGAAATCACAGCCAGGCACCACACAGAACAGAGCAGGTACAAACTCAACATGGAGCTTACAGTCTAGTCAGGGAAAGGTTGTTAAACTAACAGAAGAAAAATAGAATTAATAAAGGTGAGGAGCTGTATGAAGCCAGTAAAGGATGCCATAAGAAAAAGAAAGAATGGGAAGAGTCTGCCTGCAATGCAGGAGACCTGAGTTCTATCCCTGGGTTGGGAAGATCCCCTGGAGGAAAGAACGGCTACCCACTCCAGTATTCTGGCCTGGAGAATTTCATGGACTGTATGGTCCATGGGGTCGCGAAGAGTCAGACATTACTGAGCAACTTTTACTTTCAAAGGAGAAAGAGATGGCATCTCTGAGGAAAAGACATGGACACTGAGACAGAGGGTTGTGAATAAACTGATGGGAAAAGAGAGAGAAAAGCAAGTGCAAAGGCCAGATCCCTCAGTCTTTCTCAACCAGGTTAAGCATCTTGGATTTCATCCTAAGTACAGGAAAGTCATTGTGGGGTTATTAAGCCAAGAAGAGGAAGAACATTATCTCATTTATATTTTACAAAGATCACTAGAGCTGATTGGAGAAGAGGCTAGTGCGGGTGGCAGTGGAACCAGGGGTCCCTTCTATAAGCCCAGGATAATGGGAGGTGACTTTACAGCTGCACTTATGAGTTTTATGCCTTCATCCATCTTCACTTTGCTTTGTGATAGTGTTGAAAAGCACTAAGTTTCTTCCCAGGTTAAAAAAGGCAGGGACAGAAGTATGAACCCACTTCCCATTAATGGTCTGAACAGCTGCTGAAACACCTCCGCTACAGTTAAAGATTCCAACCAAGTTGTGAACAGGTGAGACCAGTTCATAGGTGATCTTTTCTGACCCAGTGAATGGTAATTTCAGTAGGTTGGCATCAACCCACCTAATGGGCAAGAGTCTAGTAGTGGGAGGGTCAAAGGGCCAAACAAAGACTCCGGAAGAGGAACTTGGCACAGCTACGAGTTTGCTCAACCAGGTAATTTATTAGGATGACTTCACAACTAAATCTGTGTTTCTACACAACAGGGGAGCCTCTTAAACTCCATGAAATCATTTTTGAGTTTTAGAAGCACCTTTTTCTAGGACTTATCTGTGACCTTTCTGGTTACAAAGACATTGAGCTGGGGCCCTGGTGTGCTGTTCCTCACCTCCAGACTCACACATGTCCAGCTCCCAGAGCACAACAGTCAACCTCACTGAAAAACAGGGTCCAAACTGGAGGTACAAGCTCTCTTCTGGCCTGTAAGTCAGGACACAGGTGTGACACTTTTGGAGACTGGCTTTGCCAGACAGAGGCTCTGGTTGGCTCTCTGGTCCCACCCATGAGCACCTTGGAGCCCAGCACAGCCTTAATGATCATCTACTGGTTATTAATCATAGCTGCATATTAGATCTTTAAAATTATCCATATGAGATTCTGGAAAAGGCATAACTATGGACACAGTAAAAAGATCATTGGTTGCCTGGAGTTCAAGGGGAGGCAAGGATGAACAGTGGAGTACAGAAGATTATGGGAATGAAACTACTTTGTATGATACTATGATGATGGATACATGTCATTACACATTTGTCCAAATGCATAGAACATACAACAGCAAGACTGAACCCTGATGGAAGCCATGGACTCTGAGTGATTATGATGTGCCTCTGTAGGTCCATCAATTATAATAAATGTACCATCTAGTGGGGGTGTTAATGGTAGAGGAGGCTATGCATGTGTGGGGGCAGGAAGATACGGGATAACTCTGTATCTTCCTCTCAGTTTTGCTGTGGACCTAAAACTGTTCCCAAAAATAAATTCTATTTTTTAAAAAGTACTTTAAAAACTATTCCTGCTTATTATATGGTATATCCAGATGATGGAATATTGTGTGTGTGAATCACTCAGCCATGTCTGACTGTCTGTGATCCCATGAACTGCAGCCCTCCAGGTTCCTCTGTCCACGGAATTCTCCAGGCAAGAATACTGGAGTGGATTGCCATGCCCTTCTCCAGAGGATCTTCCCAACCCAGGGATTGAACTCACATTTACTGCTTTGCATGTGGATTCTTTACTGACACATGCTACAACATGGAAAATACTTGAAACCACTATGCTAGGAGAAAGAAGCCAATCACAAAGGGCCACGTATTATATGATTTCATTTATGAAATATCCAGGATAAGCAAATATATAGAGACGGAAAGTAGATTAGTAGTTGCTTAGGGTTTAGTGGAGAGGGAAATAAGAGTGACTGCTAATGGGTACATGGGTTTCTCCTGGGGGTTAAAAATGTTATAAAAGTAGAGGTGGTTATACAATGCTGTGCATATCCTAAAACCCACCGAATCACACACTTTCAAAGGGTAGATTTTTTTTGGCATATGTACGATATCTCCACAAAGTTGTTAAAATACATCCACACCTGTGCCCTGTCCTATCCCATTACTTCAGACTGTCTGGGGATGAAGCTCAGGCAGCAGTGGACTTTTAAAACTCCCGAGATGATTCTAATTTCTAGTAAAAGCTGAGAACCACTGGTCTAGCCTAACCCTCTAGGAAGCAGCCGAGGACCCTGGGGTGGAAAGTTGTAGTGACTGCTACTCTCGCTTTGCCGGGTCAGCAGTAAGACCTAGGCGGCACAACCCGCCCTCCTCTGTACTCAGTCTCCAGGTTAAATGCAGAACAGACGGGGGTCTGCCTGACACTCCGAACTCCATGCTCCCTGGCCTTCCTACCCCCCACAATGGTTCTTAAACTGATCTCTTTCCAAAGTGCCCAAACCGCCTCATTTGTCACTATTCCTCTTCTAATCCACTGCTGCCTCCTTTGCTCTGATTTCTGGGTCATTTCTCTAGCTGCTCTGCAGACTTCACAGCTCCCTATTCTGAAGGCCTACTTGTCCTGTTGTCTTCCAGTTAATTTCCTACCTATTATGAATTTGCATGTACATTTAACACAGAGAATCATTTCTGTCTTCAGCTGTGAGGTTCTACCCATTCTATCTTTACAGTCAGTGAGGAGAAGCTATTCATCACAGGGGTCCCATTTGGCAACCAAGTGTAATCGGCTACTCATAATTTCCATTTTGAGCTACATGACTGTTAAAACTTTAAGGGATCTTCACTACAAGTTAACATCCAGGGTGAGAATATAAAAAGCTTGTCATTTTTAGGAATCACTACTGTTAGGAAATTAGGAATGTGTTGCAAGCAAGGCTTTATCAGATAGCTTAAGAGAAAAAATAAAAAAGGCAAAGTCAAGCATTTTCAAAAAGAGGGTTTTTAAAAGTTTTTTAAATGTACAATTTTGTATATAATTTGATTGATGAAATTTGTGGACTTTTGTGTGTTCTGAGCACTAAGTTACTTGTAATACTTCTCAGTTGAAGAAAGTAATGGGGTTATTTTCATTTATATTTGTTTCCTTTCTCCCCTTTTAGATTTTTTGACTTTTAAAGGTCAAGGGTCTTCTCATTCATCTGTTCATCTGACACCCCCCAACACACACATCCCCCACTGGAATCTGGCGCGGAATTGGGCTCAACGTGTTTCTAACAAGCTCAAAGCAGTGATCCTCAAATGGAAACAGGGATGTAGGTGATGGGCTTAGCAACAGCACAATCAACCTATTTCTTATTGTTATATTACAAACTATATCTACTCAACAAATATTTACTGAGTTCTTACTCCGTACCAAGCATGGTTGTAGGATAAAGCTGGACAAAGCTGACAAATCTCTGGAGACACTTTCACTCTATTGAAAGTAAACCTCCACATGTGAGCTGGTAGGGACGTGAGGAATGAATGCTGGGGGAAATCAGAGAAATAAAAATAAAGATACTTATACCATTTCTGTCACTTCCTCCGTACTAAATTCATAGTCTCCTTTTACTCTGGAAATTGAGACCAGAAAAAAAGATTGAGGAAAAAAATTCTAGAATCTGAATGGTCATGTGAAGTTCCCATTTCACTTTCACATAATTTACATCATTTAATCTCACAGCCCCGAGGAATAGATGCATTATTCCCCTTCATAGTTAAAGAAGACAAAACTCAGAGAGGACATGTGATGTGCCCAGAGTCACATAGCCCATGACATGCAGAGCTGTACTCAATTCCCCACGTCACCAGCATCCTGGTCTTATGTCTTCACACTTTATCACCCAGGTTCCCAGGGAAACACAGAAGCCTGGGGGAGTTGGAGGTGTGGGAAAGAGTAATGTATCTTGGCCCGAACACTGAAGTATTGCTCTCAGAAGTGGCAGTGAGAGTAAATATGACCGCAAAAGCAGGCCGGGGCCTGGCCACCCAGGCCATGAAGGATGGCTTTGCACTCATCTGGAGGAGGGCATGCACTTAGATTAGTTGCCCCAGCATAAACATTAGGAGCACCCCTTTCACTATCAGAAGTGTCAGGGACTTCCCTGGTGGTCCAGTGGTTGGGAGTCCAGCTGCCAATGCAGGGGACACAGGTTCAGTCCCTGCTCCGGGAAGATTCCACACGCCAAGGGCAAGTAAGCCTATGCGCCACAACTACCAAGCCTGCAGCCTGAAGCCTGTGCTCCACAAGAGAAGCCACTGGAATGAGAAGCCTGTGCACTGCAAAAAAGAGCAGATCCCACTTGCTGCAGCTAGAGAAAGCCCACAAACAGTAGTGAAAACCCAGCACAGCCAAAAATAAAGTTACTCTCATTTCTCCCCCTGCCCCCAACTCTGGAGAGCCCAGAGGTAGTGGAGTGAGCTGAGCAACAGGAAAAACTGCAGCTTCCCCTAAGGCTGCCGGTCAAGCCTCAGCTTTGTATCTGCTGGAAGACGAAGCTCTGACTTTACATTCAAAACTGAAACTATCCCAATTCCTGAAAGCTTGGGACTTTCAAGACTGAAGAAGTTATAGGCTTTGCGCAAAAGATTGTCCAGGAGTAGAAAAAAGAGTATCTGACCAAATGTATTTGAGTGCAGTGATAGGAAAAAAATAATAATAGTTTTTCTTCTGGTCATAAAACAGCAAGTGTCTAGAAAAGGGGGAAAGGATGTTCTTGAGTTACTTTAGTAAAAAATAACAACAAAAAAACACCCAGGATGATAAAGTGTATGGCCACTGCTACGGTCCAAATGTCTGCGTCCCCCGCAAAATGCACATGTTGAAATCCTAACCCCTAAAGTGATGGCATTAGGAGATGGGGGCTTTGGGAGGTAATTAGGTCATGAGGGTGGAGCCTTCATGGGTAGGATTAGTGCCCTTACACAGAGATCCCAGCCAGCCCCCTCACTTCTACCATGTGAGGCACAGTGAGAATCCAACAGCTGTGAACCAGGGAGTGGGGTCTCAACCTCACTCAACCATGCTGGTGCCTTAATCTTGGACTTCCAGCTCCCGAACTGTGGGAAATAAGTTTCTGCTGTGTATAAGCCACCCAGTCTGTGGTATTTTGCTGTCGCTGCTAGAACACACGAAGACAACCACTCTGTCTCTCAGTATGGAGGTGGGAATGAGACCTCAGCAACTGTCCTAACCCTGTTTCGCTGGCTCTTGCCCTGACACCCTTAATTAGAGGCTATCTGACTTTGCCAAAGCCTCTCAATGTTTGTGGGGTCCTTGGAGTTTGTTTTATGTGTTCACAGGGTCCCCTCATGTCCTTTGGCCCTGGCCCTTCATTGCTTGCTGCCCATGAAGGTCGGTGAGGGCTGCTACCAGACGCTGTCACAGGTGCTGTGCATGCCTGGAGGCATACACCCCCACCCCCTACCCCCAGCCTGTGTCACATTTCATTACCTACATAGTGAGTCCTGAGTCCTGTGTGAAAGTGGAGCCTGCAAGTTCTGCCTTCAGTGCCCTTCTGCAAAGACACAAAGACATGGTCATCAGAGCTTCCTCCTCATGCTCATTGTTTTTGTTGCTTCAACTCTTTTCCCCAGACTTAAACAACCTCCTCCGTCTACTCTAGCATCTTCCATCATCCTGCTTGCTCAGACAAGACTGAATCTCAGCTTGATCTCAAGCCCAGACCACTGACAGTCTGGCTTTATTCAACAGACAACAGGAAGCCTCTGATGGGCTTTGAGCAGAAGAGAAACCTCATCATTAAGAAGATTCATCTTGGCAGTAGTTCCGCAAATGAACTGGTGGGGGAGAGAAACTGTTCTTGCTTCTATCCCAGGGCGGATCCGCTTCAGGATGACGGCACTCTGGTGCCACCTGGAGGCAGCCAGCCTCAATTACAGAAGCAGTTTCCTGAGAGCAGAGTTCTGAAGCCAGATTTGCACATCAGAAAGTCACAAAGCAACTTTTCAGCGCTGCCCGGAAATAAGCCTGTTTGTACAAACCCGGCTAAAAGGAACGAAGCCTCGAGGATGAGGCTATGCTGGAGGCTCTAGGAACCATCTAGGCCTCCGTGCCTTCCTCCAAGGAGGCTGATTTATAAGGAGATTCTTGAGTTACTTCAGTGCTGAAGCCTCCCAGGATGGGTTGTAGACACACACCCCCAGCCCCTTACAACAGATTTGCAAATCAGCATCTTTGCCAAAATAAAGGGTGGTCCTTGCTCAGAGGAAGGAAGAGGACTCACTCTTGTTTCAAGTGACACGCTCATTCCAGGTGGCTGGGTTCACTTCCTTTAGAAGTCCTCACCCACACTGGAAAGAGAAAGTGTGTCTTGGACGAAGACAGTAGAGAGGCTGTTATGGGGAGGGTGTTAGTCGAGAGCGCACCCTGTGAGCCTGCGCAGGTTTTTCCAGTAACTGTTTTTTTCCCCTAATGGCCCTGTGATTGATTTACAGCCCAACCCAGGAAGTAAGTAACAAAGAGGGAATACTAGGATTGTAATAAAGCAGTTTTGAGAAGGGAGACTAGACCTAAATCTTTGAATCCCGGATTCTTTCTGCCCGAACCCAGTGAATTACATACTTCAGTATATAATTCTTGTAATATTACATAATTTGTTTCGCCTCTCTTTCAAAACAATTTCTTGTTCCTTATCAATTTTTTCCAGGTTACTGAGTCATGGAAGTTTTTTATGGCTAAAATTTCTTCTTCTATTAGCTCTATCTCCTTTTTCATAGCAATGTTTTCTTAAGAAAGTGTTTCATTGTAGACAAACAAGGTCATTTCTCTGAGTCTTTGCCAAGACTGCACTGGACTTTGGCTTCTAAACGAACAGGAACTTACTAGCAGCCTGAAATCAGTCATCCTGATTTGTGCAAGGAGAAAAGGAAAGCTAAATTACTCACATAATACTCAAGCAGCCCTGTAAGGTTTATGTTGTCATGTGCATTTTAAAGGTGATGAAATAGATACTCAGAGAATACTTTGCCCAAAGACACAAAGCTAGACAGTTGAAGAAGTAGGATTTTTAATTCTAGGGCTGCCTGATCTCAGAGCCAACTCGTTATCTACAGCATAGGAGTTTAGGCGGAGGAAATCCCAAAGTGCTAAAGACGGTAGTGTGAATCCTAAGGACGAAAGGAAAATGCACTGGGTCTCGGGGCCCATGGGGAGGGGCTATGTTGAGGGCACCCCAGTGCTGGCGGTCCAAGAGAAGAGGTATTGGGGACAGAGAAAAGCTGGGTCCAGGAGAGTAACAGTCAGATCTGGGGTGGCCCCAGTGGCAAACGATGAGACAGAAGCCCTGGGAAGGACTTTGCCTCCAATGTCAGTGCCTTACGTCTGCCACTGAGGTTCTCTCCACCCCTTTCTTCTTTTTTCTTCTCTCTGGTCTCACACCAGCCCACTTTCTTCTTCTATCAGTTCTACTTCATTGTGGATATCATGGTGGAGTCCGGGGAAATTCAGGCCTCTCTTCTGACTGAGCATAACGTAATGCCTTTCACTTCCTCCTTTCATTAAGGGCAAAACGTGCTATAAAATCAAAGTTCACCTTCTGCAACTGGCTTCCAGGAGAGTTATCTTTTCTGTGTTTTTCTTTTAAACTGCTTTCAAGCTTTCTCTTCCCTCCTGTCCTCCCTCAGAGGTCTTAGGGATTAGGGACTGAGCTGTGTGGAGGTGGCGGGTAGGGAGCTGTCTTGTATGGAGGCCGGGATGAGCTTGGAATGGATTACACTGAGCAAATAAGTAACTTGAGCAAGTGAGTAAATGTAGGAAGGGCAGTGAGAACCAAGCTGGAGAGACGACAGGAGGTGAAAAGGAAAGACTGAAAAGGAACTTGTTGAGTTGTTGGATTATAACTGGAAGTATAGTATAAGTTCATAGTTTTTAAAAATATAAACATAAAAATATAAACCTGCATACATAGATATAGATGATATACACAGATATATATAGAGAGATACACAAAGACATATAAACAAATTCTAGCCCTATCAGCTGAGAGGGCCCAGAAATTATAACATCCCAGTAGCTGTGAGCATATGGACCATCTAACATTGATTTCTCCCTACCATTCTTCACTAAAAAGAACCAGGAATAAAATAAGCCTGGAACATCTTCTTATGCCAGAAAGTAATGAGATGCTTAAAGAATGACTAGGACATGTCAAAAGGACATAGGAACAAGCTGAAGGAGATCCCACTGGCGAAATCTGGGACAATCTAAACATCAAAATGAAATGCTAATATCTTACTTTCATTTATTAAATAAAATAAGAATCTATATTGATAAATGAATAAGTAGTTAATGGGAAAGCTCTTTCTTATAGTAGACTGCCAAGCTGTAAATGGAAACAAAATGATGAAGATAGAAAACCATCATATGACACTATTGTGGTGATTTATTCAGGTAAGAGTCAACGATGAATGCAAAACTGATTAGTGGAGGTTGATAAGGACTAGGATCTTGGTATCTCAGAAAATCTCCCCACAAAATGCTTACCATTACTAAAGAGAAAGTAGTAACTTGATGAGAAATCTGGAAGATGCCTGCACAACCAAGCTATCAAGATCAGTGTCCCATGGCTAGACAGGATGACATTTTATGCCATAATATGTAAAGTCCAGCTTCTCTTCCATGGTGTTGCTGCCAAGAATGAATAGTGAGGTCTGACCAAAAGGAAATATCAAATAGAACCATATCTGTGGTCTTCTTACAGAATAAAAGGCCTGTACTCTTTAAAACCAAAGGACATTGTCAACAGAGAATGGATAAAGAAGATGTAGTACATATATACAATGAAATATTGCTCAGCTTTTAAAAAGAATGAAATAATGCCATTTGCAGCCACATGGATGGATCTAGAGAGTGCCATACTGAGTGAAGTAAGTCAGACAGAGAAGGAGAAATACTGTGTGACATCCTTGTATGTGGAATCTAAAAAGATATAATACAAATGAGCTTATAACAGAAGGAGACTCACAGGCCTAGAGAAAGAACTTATGATTGCTGGAGGGGAGGATAGGGGGAAGGGATGTGTAGCGAGTTTGGGATGGATATGTACACACTGCTATATTTAAAAGAAATAACCAACAAGGACTTATTGTATAGCACGGGGAACTCTGCTCATTGTTACATGGCAGCCTGGATGAGAGGGGAGTTTGGGGAAGAGTGGGTATATATATATGTATGGTTCAGTCCCTTCACTCTTCACCTGAAACTATCCAACATTGTTTGTTAACCAGCTATACCCCCAATACAAAATAAAATTTATTAAAAAACTAAAGGACATTAATGAGAGAAAAACTGAGAAATTACTCCAAGTTGAAGGAGATCAAAAAGATGTGGCCATTGAATGCAATGTGTGTTCAAGGATTGACTGGATCCTGAACCAAAATGGAAAAAGAATTGGCTGAGCTGGCAAACTTTGAAGGAGGTCTGTGGACTGGATATTAATGTTGTGCCATTGTTCTTCATTTGAAGGGTTTGCATTAGCTTCCTAGGACTACCGTTACAAATTACCACAAGTGGAACTTAAAATGAGAGAAATCTGTTCACTGGAGTGTGTGTGTTCAGTTGCTCAGTCGTGTCCAACTCTTTGCGACCCCAGGGATGGTAGCCCACCAGGCTTCTCTGTCCATGGGATTTCCCAGGCAAGAATACACAGCGGGTTGCCATTTCCTACTCCAGGGGCTTTTTCCTGACCCAGGGCTCAAACCTGCTGTCTCCTGCATTTCCTGTGTCTGCTGTATTACAGGCCAATCCTTTACCACTAGCACCACCTGGAGGCTAAATTCAAAATTGAAATGGCAGTCAGGGTTCACTTCTGAAGACTGGGGGCAAAACTGCCCCATACCTTTCTCCTAGCTTCTGAAGGGTGCCGCAGTCCCTGCCATTCCCGAGTCTGTGGCAGCATCACTTCAGTCTCTGCTTGCATCTTCACGTGGCCTTCTCCTCTGTATGTCTCTGGGTCCCTCTTTGTCCTCTCCTCTTCTTATCAGTCTACTGAGTTTAGGGACCACACTAATCCCAAGTGATCTCATGTCGAGACCTTTAATTCCATCAGTCTATTTCAAAATAAGACCACATTCTGAGTGAGGGAACACTATTCAACCCACAAAAGGGTTGTATCCAGAAACACACACTGGAGTGTTTAGGGGTGACAGGGTTTTGTGAATGCAGCTTGCTCTCAAAAAGTTCAGATAGTGATAACGAGGGACTCAATTCTTTGTGGAACATTCTCACAACTTTCTATACACTTGAAATTATTTCCAAATGAATCATTTAAATTTTTTAAATCCTGCTTTTCACCTTTATTGAAGGTTTTCAGGGGGCAATATTCAAGAAACAATAAGACAAGATGTTCAAGCTTCCACAGGTTCGGCCACCATTTGTCATCTTGTTTGAGGGTCTCAAAGTTTAGGGACAATCCTCCTTGGCTGGGTAGGAAAGAGCATGAGAACCCCCATTCCTCTCAATGTCTTGCCCTTTCACATTTTCACCTTTTTCCAGGGC